AAATCTGAATTATAGGGTTTATAATTAAAAAGAATCCTAACGACAAATCTATACTAAACGAAACTATATGATTGTACCTTCATCCTGGCTTTTTGGTGTTTGATATTACAATATATATGGAATGCTTCATCACTCAAAAGATATTTGACCAAGAAAAAGACAACATCACCAAACCAGCTAGGGAAAAAAAAATCAGAGAGAATAAAGCTAGAGCAATGGATAAACATAGAAACCTCAACCCCAAAAAAAAGTGGGGGAGAACAACTTTTGCCTAATGATATCTATTTAATTGTGGAAATAACGACGTCTGTCTACAAGTTATACTTAAATCATTTCTGTCAACAGGTCAATCATTTTACAACTTCCATTTTAGCTCAATACTTTTAACAAATATGTCAAATTACATTTTGAACACCTTATTTCTTTGAACTTCATTTTAAGGGGGGGGAAATATGTTTGAATCTTATTGTTCAATCTGAAAATTGTAAGGATTATTAAAAAAAGCCTAACGACAAATCTATACTAAACGAAACTATACAATTGTGCCTTCATCCTGGTCTTTTGATGTTTGATATTCCAATATGTTGAATGCTTCATCACTCAAAAGATATTTGACCAAGAAAAAGACAAGATCACCAAACCAGCTAGTAAAGATAATCAGAGAAAGAAGAAAGCTAGAGCAATGGATACACATAGAAACCTCAACCACGAAAGAAAAGGAGAAAAAAAAAGAAGAAGAAGGAAGCGCAGTTTGTTAAAATTAAACATCTAAGACAAATTTTATTTTACCTGGAAGAAAACTGAAATGCGCACCAATATTTGATTCTTCTGGTCATGCAAAGATTTAAGAAACCAGACCTGATAACAATACCATTACCAAACCGAACAAGTTACATTCTACAACTCAAGATGGAGAAACAAATTGACGGAAATCAATGTAGCGAATCATACGACAAGTTATTTCGTCACGAGCCACCGGAATAAGTGCTTCGTGAATCTACCACAGCCTGTTTTGAATGCCATCCTCAATGCTCTCGATTTGGTTAGCCCATAGCTCTGCAGGAAATGTCATGCTGTTGTAATCCACAATACTAACCGAAAGCTCGTTTTCTCTTCCGGCATTGTTGTTGAATTGAGCGGCATGATGTTTTGAAGTTGAACATTGTTCCACAACCCCGGCTACAAAATGCAGCGAAGATTTAAGATCGTGGCCTGATTCCTGCTCATTAATAGATAACAAGTCGTTCCATTTGTTGTCTCGAACTCCTAGTTTCTTCGTTCGGGTCCTCTCCCTAGCTCTTGCTCTTGCCATGTCTCTCAATTCTCTGGCAAGTTCAGGTTGGCACGGAGCTCTTCTTGAAGATTCTCTCTTGGCTTTCGGTCTAGCCTTCTTGTGCTCGCTGGCCAAATGCTTGCCGCTGTAATCAGAGATGGTGGAGGTGTCCTCAAATTCCAACTCCAAAGTAGATGCTTCGGTGCTCTTAGAGCTGGCTCCGCCGCTCGAACTGCGGCCTTTTGGCCTAGTGGCTGCCTTCAACTTGTCGATAGAATCCTTAGCTTCTTCCATGAGCCATTGCACCGTCTTGCTAGCCTTGTCATAGCCAAGCATGTCTTGGACATGGAAGAACTGTGGAGCAACCTCCAGATTGAGCCTCATTCTTCGGTCTCTTGGCCCTTGCGCCGTAACTATCTTGCTGTGTCGATCTTTTCTCGTGGCTCGCTTGCGGGAATTTGCAGTGCTCATGCTTTTGACCTTATTGCTGGGGGGTGGCGGAGCCGTCGGGGGTTTTGACAGGGAGTACTGATTACTTTCATCACCAAGCTGTGGGAAGACAAGGTCATGGAGAGTGTTCCCTTGGTTGAGTGCGAAGGGGGAGAAGGGGAAATCTAGAAGGGCAGAAAAAGGCCTCGACTCCATAGCAAGGCGATGAGAGGTTCAGGGTTATGGGAGGACCTGAAGCTCTTCAAGGGGCCGGGGGATTAGGGTTTGGAGCATAGATATAGATAGAGGAGTATGATTGATTTGATATTTTTGTGGAAGAACATGTATCTGGATAAGGGAATGTGGGTTTATCAGCACCCTTAGCTACATGAAATAGCGCGCTTGTTGAGAGAGCTCCAAGGCTTTTGGGTACTCTCGTTGTTTGAGCTTGTGGATATAATAAAGAGGAAGAGGTAATCTAAGAGCACAGCATAAAGGGAGCCCTCATGATGAAGAAATGAGAAGAGCTTTGAGCAAGATGGTGATGGTGCTAGCTAGCATTTATTGGGAATCAAGGAACTTTCCTCTCTCTCTCTCTCTCTCTCACAAAATGGCTTGAGAGGGAGTGGAAATGGTGCATACAAAGTGTATGGTGCGTCTTCACGTGGGAGCAGTGAGAGGATGACCTCTCTCTCTCTCTCTCTCTCTCCCACCCCCCTCTCTCCAGGAGACTCTTTCTCTCTCTACACTCGCTATCAAACTTTAGAACCCGTTATATTGCAGAACAGTTCTTGATAAAGGGGAAGCGCGGTTTGGTTTTGGACTGCGTATTGCATTAATGGGTGGGATTGAGACCGGACACATCTTGGAGGAAAAGAAAGATGCTTTTGATGTGTCGTAAAGATAGAGTTTTGCTTTTGTTGGGTTTTTTTTCCAGATATTGGTCTCCGAAAATCAAATCTTAAAAGGGTTATTTATAAAATTAATCCCTCAGGCGGTGTTAGTCAATTGAGACATTTTCATGCAAAATGGGATAATTATTAAAGTGGGATAATTTTTTGCTAGTGGGATATTTTAGTGGGATAAATAGGAACAATTTTGTGAAACGGGATATTTTGATAAAATAACGTGGGATAATTTTTTATAATCATGAAATATATATATTTATGCATTTTGAAGAATAAATTCTATTTATGTATTTTAAACTTACTATTATTGATTGATAATTGCTTACAAGAATGTTCTTTACTATTAAATTTAAACTTACTATTATTGATTGATAATTGCTTACAAGAATGTTCTTTACTATTAAATAACTTTTGGTTAAACTATAAGATATTGACAATTATTATTATAGAATGTTCTTTACTATTAAATAACTTTTGGTTAAACTATAAGATATTGACAATTATTATTATAATGATGATTAATGATGGTGATAACCATAATAGGAAATATATAACTCCCAAATCATCATATATAATAACTATTAATTCTCCCAAATCACATAAGTGGGTTGAAATAGATCCATCTCGTTAGATGAGGTTACAATGACGAAAGAATATTTTGTTTCTTTTACCTTTTATAGTGAGCGGACCGTTATACCATTCTCTCAAACTCATAAACCATTATTTGAACCCGTTGAAGGAACGAGATTCAAATCCAAACCCATTAACCAATTAATTCATCATCTTTCCCATAAATAGTCCCTTGCTTCAACACCTTCCCTTTTACAACAAAACAAAAAAAAAAAATACAAAACCATAAGTCATGAGAATGCGGTCAACCTAATGTTCAAGTGTGAGATTCTGTAATACTCTCTCAAGCTGACAATTTGGACTTCATTGACGTTTCCTCCTTGATTTGAGACTATCGCAAGAGGAAAAGAAAACTCCTTCCTACCTCCTCAAGACGGGTAAAATGATAGAGAGGGAAGGAGGGATGGACCATCACAACCACAACACACACATATATACTATATATATATATTATATATAATATATTATATATATATATATATATATATAGATTGTCATTGCTATAGAGCTGACAGCATATTTTACAAAATGTGAGCCCCCACATCGATGTGACTAATAGGGGACTCACATGCCATAAAGCTAGCAACCCATTTTGTAAAATGGGTTGTCAGCTCATATACATTTTTCCTATGTATATCTGTGTACGTGTGTGTATACACATACATACATTCATGCATACATATATATACATACATACACACGCACGCATATATATATGGTTTTGAGGAATTAACTCCTAAGGTAAAATTGTAAGCGCACATCTATGGTTATTCTTAAGCTAGCCCTAGTTAGAGTATGTGGACAGTTATATGAGGGGTCTAATTCAATTCATTATGTGATCTGGGAGAGCTAATAACTATTATGATGATTTGAGGGAGTAATATCGAAATAACCAATCTAAGTCCTCTAAATCTTATAAATTGAATCAAATAGACCTCTTTTTATTTATTTTATTTTATTTATTTTATTTTTATTTATTTATTTTATTTTATTTTTGTGAATATGGAAATCAAATCTAAGACCTTGAAAGTCATATTTTGGAGTCTATCAATCATCCGGATCACCTGCGGGCTCCCAAATAGGCCTCTCATATTAGAATTTGTTATCTTCAACTGCTAATAAATTAACATAGGGATAATTGCCAATTGACCACCTTGGTATCAGCCAATTGCAAATAAGCCTCTTAGTTTTGTTTGTAATTTTGCGCAGATAAATCCTCACCAGTATTTGTCCAAGCACATACAGACCGTCGTGTTGAACTTTTTTTTCACTCTTTTAAGAGTAAAATAATAGCAATTGGGGGGGTCTATCTTCACCAATACAACTATAAAGGGTGCATCCGTCTCCTCAAAACTTAAACTTTTTTAAGAGTAAAAAAATTCACTCAATAGTTGCATTTGCACAAATAGAACTACACGATGTCTATTCACATTTAGGCTAAGGGGATCTTTTGGCAATTAACCCATAAACTCAACCATTGTCAAGGTTTTCAATTCTACCTAGTATTATAACAAATTTTTAGCTAATATATAAAAATTAAGTTCATCTCACTGGCTCACTTTTTTTTCATTCCTCTCACTTGTTCCCCTTATTTCTCTATATTTTGGTGCTTAACATTTAATATTTGTTGTCTTTATCTTTGTAGTGATTTCTAATTTCAAAGATGGGTTCAATATTTGTGAAGTAGAGATGAATTTAGTAAAATGAGCTACTAAGGGCATCTCAAATGCCGCTGTGTTAAACTATTTCCCCTCCAACCGTACCGCATTCTTTGCGGCACTTTGGAGCGGATGAACAGTGCGCCGCCAAATATGGTGTTGCACTGTTCATCCGTGTTATTACTGTTCATTACTTTTAAATTTTTTTAATATTTATTTTTTACTTTTTACTTAATATAAAAGTAGATAAAAGAGAATATTCTGAGAATATTCTTTTTTGGTGCAAAAAATAGTGCAATGGGTTGGAGATGTATTACTGTTTGATGTGATTTTTACACCATTTTTGTGTAAAATTTACACCATTTTGGTGCAATGGGTTGGAGATGGTCTAAGAGAGTAAACTGCGAGGCTCACATCTTTCTATGTGATAACTAGAATGGGCATCATTACATGTATATTTCTTAGTAGTTCATCTTGCAAAATGAACCGTTACGTCATATCCGTGTTTTTCCTACAAAGATTCAAAGTTCATATAATAGGAAATTTATAAATTAAAAAAATAGAGGTACCATTACCCTTTTAACTTACCAGTTATTAAATATATAACAAATTGATACAACTTATAAAATTATGAGACTTCTTTAAAATAGGTTTAATTGCACTTACATGCATATAGTTTCCTCTACTTTGCGCTTTTATACTATCACTTGTTTTTTATAGCATTTGTATGACACTAGGGGTGCACTCGGTCCGAATACGGCTCGGATATGATACTTACCATATCCATATCCGTTTACCCATCTCGGATACAGATATGGATATGAATATACTTCGGTAAGAAAAATTCATATCCATATCCGCTAAAATCGGATACGGTTACGGATATACATGCAAATATATGAGAAGATATGCATGTGGATACAAAACAAATATGAGAAAACTAGATAGTATGGAGAAAAACATAGTTCATGTGTTACAAAAGAGTGCATTAATATGTTCATTATAATTGAAAAGTTAAGATTAGACATCATGATCATCAAAATTAATCATAAATCTATAATCTAAGAATCGAAGCTATCGTAAGAGTAGGACTAATATGAATTCGGATATTTCAGATACAGATACTGATATTTCATTACAAAACCATATCTGTAACCATATCCTATCGATTATAGATTTAAGTAACCATATCTGTATCCTAACGAATACGGTTACGGATATTTCCTTGGATACGGATACGGTTTAGCACCCCTACCCTACACGTTTAATTTTATTACAATTAAGCCGTTAAAATATATGTATTTTGGGAAACTTGTTTTAAAGTACCTACATGTTTTGAGGGTTGATATTTCCTCCCCTTTTTTCTTTCCAAATCCACACCCCTAATTAATTCGTTCCAAATCCACACCCCTAATTAATTCCTTCTTTCTTAAAGCCCAATTCACTCGTTTCTCACGAGACCTCTCTGGACCTCTCCCTTTACTGCTCCCTGCAACTCATTCCTATCTTATCACGTGTCCTCATCTCACATGCTCTGGTGACAATTATTTTCCTCTCTCTCTCTCTCATCCCGCCAAAGCCACTCGCAGCAGCTTTGCTTAAAATTAACCAAAATCCCCCTCTGACTCCGTGAAGACTGACTCTGCACTGTTTCGGCTGCTGATTGGTTCCGTACCTGTTAGGTCTTGGGCCAATGGGAAATTGCCAGAGCTTCAAAAGTTGAAAGCAAATAAATATATTTTTGTTTACTCATATACATGCCGTCATCTTCCATTGCTCTTGCCCTTTAATCTCTCTACATTTGCCACTTATGTCCCTCTCAAACTCCTACTTTCCTCCCTTTTTCTCCTGAGCTTGCGCGCGCGTGCACATGCTCTCTTTTGGTTTTTCCTTTGTCCCCTCAGGCCTACTCAGCTCCATTCTGATAGATAGAGCTCTAGGGTTTCTTCGGTGCAATTGATTGTTCTGCGTTCCATATAATTGCTCAACTTACTTAGCTGAGCAAGAAAACAAAAGTTTTTTTTTCAATTTTTATTTTTCCAACCCTATGTCCTGTCTTCATTTAATTTTGAACCCCACCCATTAAAGGATCATCCTCAAATTCAAACTATGCATTATGAATTAATCAATATAAAAACTTGAACCGTGTTTAGCAAAAAGAGGGTCAGAATTAGTCCAATTTGAGGGGAGATTTCCCAAACACCGCCTAAATATAGTATATTTTAAACTCAAATGTAGCTAATGATGCACCAAATATAGTTTAGTTCCGGAAAAAAAATACTCCCAAGTATAGCGAATCAGAGGCTCAAACGGAGCTAAGGATACACCATTTATAGCAACTAAGACATCAGTATCGCGATATAAACACAATCTTGTTGGTTTTGGTCGTGTGAAGAACGAAACTTAAAACAAAAATGTATCGGGTCGGTCGACCGACGAAGGAGATCCTGTCGACCGAAGAGACTGCAAAAAATGAGCTTAGGAACACGCTCTAGCCGGTTGACCGAAGCTGTGTTATCGGTCGACCGAGGGTGACCAATCGGTCGACCGAAGGTGATGCGTCGGTCAACCGAAAACATGCACGAAGACCCCGTAAGAAACTGTGTTCTGGCCGGTCGACCGACACCCATGGTCCGTTCGACTGGAATCAGTTTTTTTAGTTTTCAGGTTCGTTTAGGAAACTGTTTTAGGCTAGG